TTCTAGTTAAAGCTGAGAAGCACTGCATTAGATAGATGACTCAGCCAGACTCCATAACTTTTGAGCTTTATCATTTTGCAAACATTATGAAAATGTTACTTTTGAATGTTCTCTGAACATTCTAACAGGTAGCAACATTTAAACAAACATTTCAATTTCAGGTGAAAGTCCAACTAAAACGTTTTTGAATGTTTTACAAAAGTATTAACAATGCTTTTGCGCTAACGTTTTGAGAACATTATTGACCAGATAGCTTTGACTTCTATTAATGTTGCTGGAAGATTGAATTTGTTCACAACTTTGAGAGAACCTTGCCAGAACTTCTGTCAAGAAAATTATTTAACTACAGTGTCCAAAAGAACCGGCCAAGCAACAAAACGAACACTGCAACAACGTTAGAGTAATATTAAAGCTGAAATCCTCTGTGATCTGATATCATCTGACATGTAAGATGGTGCCAGTTTCATTTTTATGAATGACAGTAGCTGCATCCGAAATCACATTGTCAGAGTAGGTAATAATTTTGATAAATGTGTGTAGTATGAATACAATATGAACATAGCGATGTTGCGACTGTTATGTGACCTATGGAGTCAGTTGCCATTCACAGCTCCTCCTGTGACCTCTTGGGATAGAAAAGTGTCCATTTAATTTTGCCTGATGTTTTCTGAATACTGGGAATTTGGAAATATTTCCCGTACTGCTTTTCGAATACTAGTAGGGAAGTAGAATCAAGTAATACTGTGTAATAATAAAGCATAAAACAGTCACTCTAAAGTTTTCTGCTCAGTGAAAGAATTTAGTCCTCCACTCCCACTGCAATAAAATGTGGAGTGATCGATTGTGCTTAATGTTTCTAGCCAGAGGTGAGTCTGAGTGCAGAGTTTAGCCTTGGCTTTTGGTCAGTTTTATTTGGAAAGGGACATATGTGCCACCAGATGGGTAACAGCTAAATATAGTGCAAGGACATCAGTAATCCTCAAGCAGGGGTGTGGAGAGATGGCTGTTCCTCCATCTGCGTACATGAATTGGATTCATGGTAGGGGAGTGGAGTTTATCATAGTGTGAGATTAAGATTGGCTCCAAGACATACAGACTTCACATCATGCTGCTATAATTAATGTATTTTTACAGCGAGATGCAGTGCAGTGTTGTTGTCGCCCACTAGCATTGCAGTGTTGGTGTTTTCATTAGCTAAGATGCCACGCTCGACCAACAATGTCATAACTTAAACCAAGTCTGTCTTAAATACTGTAATGCACAAATGACATGCTGTAATGAGCCATTTGGAAATACAATACAATAACATTTATATAACACAATACCAAAGTGATTTTCAACTGGTTTGTGACCTGTCTTGCAGTTCTGTTCTGATTATCAAAGATAGCAGGGGGGAACAATTCCAAATGCCAGTAATAAAATGTGACTAATTGTATTTAGGGTAGCAAAATAAATAAGATTAACATTTTTAAAAGAGAGGAGAAAGATTCATTTTGTTGTTGAAATCAAAGTCTGTGCATCCAATCAAACTACAGTATTGTCTGGCACTTAAAGCAGTCGAATTTGACAAATGACAGCATAGACAAGTTGCGTAATGCTCTCATCCATGCATAAATGAAATGAGAATAAATATAGTTTGTGCAAATTACAAATTGAAACATCTGCACTTTACTAAATTATAATAAAGCCCATATAAAACCTCTTTATACTTTGTTTTTGTACATTTATGCATTTCTTTATGTAATCAATGTATTATGTTTGTAATAATTTTTCAAATCAGTTATTTACACCCAGAGAAGCCTATCTGACAAATTAAATGCAACAAAATAGCTTTCACACAATATATACAGTATATTTTTGCTATAAAATACAACAACAACTACAAACAAATAAACTCCACCTGACACTCTAAATTTGGTAAAACATAGATTTAGTGTGTGTTCCTGTGTGCGTGTAAAACGTCTTTAACCATAGAGCCCGAGGCCAATCTCTTGTACAATCTTCTTCTGTGCTGTGGTACATGAAGAGCTTGTTTCTGAACAGGTTGGATGTACAGACGCCTCCAGGTGAAGCATTGCAAGGTCCATTAGTCATGTGTTCAGTTAAATGAAAAAACGTGATGAAAGACTTCTTAGTTCTTCCTTTTAAATCTCAAATAACATTGTTAATACCAAAAAAGATCCTTTTTCTCAATCACCTGTACACCTAAAAGGCAATCACAAGTGACTTAATTAAAACACTTAAGATCGATAATGTCTAATAAAATGAAAAAAAAATGTGAATAATAAGAAATGTTTCTTAGCGTACATGAATAAGAAGGATCATGTGACACTGAAAACTAGAGTGATGGCAAATTCAGCTTTGCCATCACTGGAATAATATATACTGAGAAAATCTTACAAACCATAAACTTACTGAAAATATAACTGTACGATTATGTAGGTGGGATTAAAATAGGATGGTAGAAAATGATGGCATTTACCAGAGTTAAGATTCATATCATTCATCTGATCGCCAAATCCAGGATACCTGGTCCATCCAGATGTAAGGTTTTGTTTGGAGGAGGGTAGCACCACTGTGCCCAAGTCAGGGTGATCGTTGTGGAGGAAATTTAACAGAGAATTAGAGTACTGATGTTCTGCCACCATCAAACCATCAGAGGATACAGCCGAGGGGTACATCATGGGGGGCATAACAACACTCAATCCCTGCCTAGAATCCCCTGACCACAGAATAGCACTGTTTGCAGGGTGATTTGGTAGCATTTGATGGTTGGATTGAGACTCGCTGCTTGTTCCTTGCCGGAGATGTTCTGGAGGAAACAAGGGCTGAAACCTGGTTTGTGACTCTGCTTCCCATTGACTTGAAAGTCCATCTAAAAATAAAATAAATAAATAAATCAAAACAGGAATTCAATGTTTCAATTAATTTAGCAAGTCACATATTTTGTGTAAAAGCAAAATTTAAGAGGAACAGTTACTTGTTTGAGCAACTTTATGGTTTCTTTTGATTTCGGAGCGTTCCTCCTTCAGGTTATTTGCTTGACTCAGAGCACGGGAGAAATGTTCATCCACCATGCTGTTGATGTCTCCTTGGAAGTAGGTGAGAAGCACACTACCAGACGCCTCTTTAGTTTTCTTAGCCACAGGGTTCCCTAGACCCTCATCCATCACTGATCTAGATACTGCAGAAACAGTATGCATTACATCATTTATCCATCTATAAGATTGTTGTGTGTTTAATTATTTGTCTTCTAAATCTAATATGAAATTGCAATAGCATGGCATTATTTGCATTCTTTCAATGATATTGATGAATGGCAGTATGTAAGCATGGGATATGTCACAGCCCAACTGTTCCATATTTGCTAAGTGGATTTAGATTATTTTAGCATCAATTACTCAAGTATTTAGGCGAATCTTCTAGAGCTGCAATAAGACATATTATTTATATCAACATGAGACAGAATACATTTTTATGCATTTTTTTGGTTGACGACTTATGCTGGTAAGCACTATTCGGCTAAAGAACAAAATCTTGCACGTTCCACAGAAAACTTTTTTTAAAGCATTAGAGGGACAATTTGTTTTTGTTAGCCTATGAGAAATATGAGATATGTTTAATAAATTAAAAGTGGATGGCATTGAACAAAACGTCATCATATGTCAAACACATTTTATAATGTTGTTTATGAAATGTTGATGTGTTAAATGGGGTGCTGTCTATCTATCTATCTATCTATCTATCTATCTAAACAACCAAATTTTGGGAACAGGCCTGCAAACTATATTTAAAATAAATGTAAAATAAGACATTTTATATTTTAAGTTAATATTTAGTAATTTAGTTAGACCCCCAGTGGTTGATGATCGATATTATCTGAAGGTTTTCTGAAATTGTTTAGGTGTATCAAAAGTTATAATTGAAGACTACATATGCACGAAAATGCAGATAAATATCTGTTAAATATTACATCTTAATACTGGCAGAATATTAAAACAGTCTGTCCCCTCTCTAAACAGCAAACTGGGTTGACGCACGTAAATCACTAGGTTCAGTATTGCACTTGATTGTATCCAGATTTATAGAATTCAGCATGAACGCTTAACTCGTTACGTTTTTGCTAAAGCAATTTTAAAATGATGAAATATTGCTGTAATGGAAATAGCCACCGTTTTTACTCACCGTGCGACAGTCGTGAGATCTCGAGTGTTTAATCAGACGCTGCAATTACATTGATAAAGTAAAGGCAAAATATCCACTGTTGCGCGTTAAATAAGTTTGATCGTTTCCCTTAAACTTGTACGTCGACTACAAGAAACAACTTCACTTTTTGCCCTTAAATGTGGGGCGTTAATCTATGAACTTTAACCAGCACGAGTAGAATGTGACTGAACAAGTTAGACCATTTAACTGTCATCATCTCTAGAAAAAAAAGACACTGACAGAAGAGACAGAACTAATATTTTTAGGACATGTTTTTACTTCATTTTCCAGTTGACATTGTGAATAAGATAACATAGATTATTAATATATCGCAATCATTTATTTTAATGCATGTATGCAAAGTGTAACACAAACATATAGTTTAGACATATGTTAAAACCCTGTTACTATTACTGTATGAGCAAACCTCTGTATTTTGAATGATTTCTTGCAACAATGTTTTAGACCTGGCAGGGGGGGAAAGCTGCTAGTCTTTTTTAATACTGATAGTCTGAAGCAAAAATTACTACCTAGCAATTCAGAAAAAGTGCTGTCTTTAGCTATACAGATGTATAGATATCAGTCAGTTGAATGACACAAGTCATACCACATTTAAACAGGTGACCTCAGTAATTCATCTCTCTGGAAGAAATAAAAGAATCACTGAAATAATGACAGTATAGTTGACAAACAGAAAAAAACTTAATGAAGCCTTTCATGAATTTCTGCTGGAGATTTCCAAACATGTCATTTAACAAACACAAAAAGAAACTGAATACACAGAATTCATATTCCCTCTTTTTATTGTTTTCTGTGCTGTGTCAGGAAAACACCATTATGGCTGGTCCCTGAGTTTGAGGTATCGGAGATCTTCCTTTCACTGGTAGTCTCTGAGTTCATGGACGGTGAGGAGACTTTTAGACCACCTTTCGCTTTGGCCCCCAGTGTCACAGAACGGCTCCAGTCTGGTCAAAATTCAAATGATCGTTTATTCAATTAATTTTTCAAGAAATATTGTCTCTGATAAGTTTTGTGTTTTTTAGATGGGATGCTCTTTACTTGTTAATAAATCTTAATCTACAACCTTCTATTATTATTATCTTTGGTTGGTGTTTGATATGCAGTTTTGTATAATTCAAACATTGTACACTATTATTATAATAAAGGATATTTTCTCTACAGCTATTTACTATAGTTTATATGAGACCAACCTGAGTATTCAGTCTGTCTGAATCTTCCACAGCAGAAATGTATCCTCCACTGCTTCCTTACAGTGTCTTTCATCAGACAATAAAACAGGAAGATAAAGAAACCTGAAATACAGCAAAAAGCAAAACACTTTCTGGGTGTACACTGTAAGGGTCCAAAGATCCCTTACATTCGCCATGAGGACTGCAATCCAAAATGATATAATAGGTTGTTAAACAGTAGATAATGCATTCTTATTTTATTCTTATCATTCTGATCTGTAGGATGGACCTATTATAATCAGGAGTACCACTGCATATATATATATATATATATATATATATATATATATATATATATATATATATACAGTATGCACAATGTTACA